TTATGTCACAATAGTTTAAAAAAACTTGTGATATTGATATTTCTGGTGGTATAAAATAATCGAAACAATGTGTTATTATTGCTATATATAATTGTTATTATTCTAGCTTGCAAGTAGCAGCATTTATACGTGTTAGTAAATGAAGATAATTTTCTTTCCTTCTTTTCCAATGAACTACTGTCATTGATGACACATTACCTAATCTGAAGTGTGAATCTACTGAAACAAGGTGCCAACAACGGCAGCATTTCGCTGTATTAGCAGTGACACAGCATAAGTTTAATGTAAGAACAAAAGTAGCGTAGTTAGTATCTTCCCTGGAATTAAGGATGGATTAGGTAGAAATATATTATAAATTTTCTTGGCTTAAAAAGAAAAGAATCACTGATTGAAAAGAATCAATCAGTGGATCAAAGTCCACACGCAAACCTGATTGAAATGCTGTGGTTGGATCTAACAGAACTGTGTATAGATGAATGCCCACAAACCTCAATGTACCAAAGCAATGTTGTAAGGAAGACTTGGCCAGAATACCTCTACAGCAATGTAAGAGACTGATAAAGTCAGACAGAAAACAGCTACTTCAAGTGCTTAAAGTAGTCCTACAGACTATTGAATCACTGAGTGTATTTAGTTTTTCACAGGACTCCTGAGAAAACTTTCTTTTTCACATCACTGCACGTTGTCATCACCTACCAGTCTGATCCAGAAAAAAGGTTCTAAAAACCTACTAAGTTGAAAATCCATGACAATCCGTGTCCTTATATGACCTGAAACTTGTGGCCAGCTTGGGTGTTATTTTTGCTGTGCTGATAAGAAATAAATACAGTTGTGAGTTGTTGTAGTACCTTGTCACTCTTGAATAATTTGCCTGAACAGTCGCATTGACCTGAAAGTTGTTTGAATAACTGTCAGCTTTGCATCATGGGTGGTTGAAAAAGTCATAGAGCAGACTTCATTATTTAACTGCTTGGAGTGAGGACTCTGTGTTCAGACACTGAAATACTGGAATATTTGGCAGATTCACTGGCTGCAGTCAGGAAGTGATTGTTCAGCACAACATCCTGTATTGTGTTTATTTTGGAGGACGTCAGCTCACAGGAAATGCTGTGGTATTGTTGGATTTTTCTTTATCTCACCTGTCAGTGTGATGCATCCCTGCTGGGTTGGTTTTTATGTTTGTCTGATGCACCTACAGGCGGTCTGAACTGCGATGGGCAGAGCATGTTAAACCTGGGCTAACAGGATTAACTGGGCAGAGATTAGAGGCCCGGCCTCAGGTTTTCTGTGGCATGTCCCTCTGTAACCCTGGCGAGGGGTAAACCTCCATGACCTATTTTTATGGTTTGCAGTTTATGTATTTTCTTGTTTTGCATTCAGTTTGGTTTCAGTCAGTTTCTATTAAGAGTTTACTCTACTTTATTTTTATTTTTTATTGTTTAAGATGTTCTTATTGAAATTTCACTGATTATTTGTTTGAGACCTCAGAAATTTGCACATATGTACGTCAGAACTGAGTCTCCCATGTTTGCAAAATGTAGCTTCACTTACAGCATTTTAATAAAGTAGCCACACCACAGTGTTTCACATATGTTTATGAAATTATGTAAACACCTCAAATATCCAAAGATGTAAAAACAACGGATCTAGGAGCTGTGCCCTAAACTCAACAAAAAGTCAGCCAGTTTGAATTTCTCAGTGTTTTAGTAGAAATCAGCAAACAGATTTAATCACATGTATTTCATATTTGGTCAGCTTGAACTAAAGACCTTAATGTTGCTATATTTTGTTGGTTTTGAATTTTCTTTAAAGGGTTAAATCATTGTGACTTGGGTCAATTTCAGTGTTTCAACATAATTCTAAAACTTACTTACGTAAACATGTCCCCAGACAGTTAAATTAGCACTTTTGAGTAGATGATTACCTTATGTGAAGTATAAACTGTAACCGGACTGATACTGAACATGATTCCGGTTTCTGTCTCCAGGTCTTTGTATAAGTGGTCAAGCACAATCCAGTTCTCAGCAGTACGCTCCAACACACACCCAGCACAGGTGAGTAAATGTGTGTTCCCATATGTTTTATTACAAAGCATGCAAACTTAAATAAACGTAATAAAACATGAAGATAAAGATGTAATAGGTTATTCAAAATTACCAAATGGTGATTTAAAAAAAAGGTAAATAAAATAAAAAAGATCATGAATTCTCTGTCATTTAACACGCTCCTTTTTGCCATGCTCCTGGATACACATATTCTTCATTATGTGGAGTCGCTTACTTTTACTTTATATAGATATAAACACATTTTCATAGATTAATCAGACTTATGTGTCAGTGAAAAAAGATTGTCTGGAGCCTTCAGATGTTACACTGATGTTAATATGTGCTTGCGTGTTTGTGGGTGCCTAGCAGGAGGATGGCGGTGAATGTCTACTCCACCTCTATGACCATAGAGAACCTGAGTCGCCATGACATGTTGGCGTGGGTGAACGACTCTCTGCAGCTCACCTACACAAAGATTGAGCAGCTGTGTACAGGTAAACACACACTTCTCGAGAAAAAGCTTCAAATTAAAATAAATGTTTTTCTTGACTTTGTGCTCCTGTTCTGTTTTTTCAGGCGCAGCTTACTGCCAGTTCATGGACATGCTGTTTCCAGGCTGCATATTACTGAAGAAAGTCAAGTTCAACGCAAAACTGGAACATGAATACATCCACAATTTCAAGGTCTTACAGGCTGCGTTCAAGAGAATGACCGTTGACAAGGTGGGAACAGGGAAACCAACTGCTTTTTGTTCTTATTATCCGAGGTGTCATATCTGTACTTTTATATTAGTTATAAGTAGTTTATATTAGTGGCTCCTCCCTTGCTGCTCTAGCCTACATGCCGAATAACCTTGCACAAACTTGGACTAACCCTAAGCTCTTAGAGGCATCCATCAGAGTACGAATGTTTAAGTAGAAAAAGCATAGCTAAAACAGCTTGAGTGACGTTGTATATAAGAACCACTCTGTTGACTATTTAAGTCGGTACAGTTAAAGTACTGTGGCACAGTCTAAATTGTTTTTAACTGTACTGTAGATAAAGTTGTCTTTAAAGTTGTCATTCTATTATTACGAATGTGCTTTTTTTTAGGATCATTTACCTTGACAGAAGGAAGCAAGGTGATAACATGCAGATCATCTTAAAGATGGCTGCTGTTACCCCAAAATGACAGTTATTGGAGTATCTAATCCCAAGATTCCCTTTTCTGACATTTCAAGAATGTTTTTTTCCTGCTATTTAAAAACATTTCAGATCATCCCGGTGGAGAAATTGGTGAAGGGGAAGTTCCAGGACAATTTTGAGTTCCTTCAGTGGTTTAAGAAGTTTTTTGATGCCAACTATGACGGGAAAGAATACGACCCTCTGCTCACACGGCAGGGCCAGGAAGGAACGCCGCCTCCACCTAATCCAGGTACAACACGACATAGTCAGCTGTGCGTGAACCTAAACCCTTCATTTTACTTCTCTCACATCTTCATGCTACCACATCCCCACCTCTAACCCAGGCAAACCTATTCATCATAAACCTAAAAGACCCACTCGCTCAGGTAACATCCCCTCCATGCAGCATGTGTGTGTGCAGTGTGTTACTCAGTTTATGGAGTGCTCTATCCTGGCTGGTTGTGGGCAGCACTAGGGGCTCTAATTATCTGTCTGCCAGCTCCTTCCTATTAAGTAGTTCGACTCTCATATTACAATTTTAGTATTTCTTCTGCATTTACAGCATTAATAATTTAAAAAACTTTAAGGAAATATTTAAGACTGTAGGTCAAGCTTCTTGAATGCAGTATTTTTCCAATCTTTGAAAAATGCTGCTTTCGTAAAGTTATTGTCCTGTGAATAGGCTCAGTTTCCTATTCATAGCTGACAGCAGTGGTACTCAGTGTGGTCTATGACTAGGCATTCTCTCTACTGTGACATCGGACATCAACACTGCCTTTTCATCCAGTATTTGCCCTTTTTAAGGCCAGTTCCTGTAAACTCTAGAGATTGTTGTGAGGGAAAATTCCAGTAGATCAGTTTCTGAAATGTGTAGTTCTGAAATGGTATAACAGCCCATCGGCCACCAACAAACATGTCATGTTCAAAGTCACTTAGATCATCTTTCTTCATCACTTTGGCTCTCAATTTAAACTTCAGTAGATGAAGTCTACATGCCTAAATGCACTGAGTTGCTTCCAATGATTGACTCATTATTTTTTAACATTAATGAGCAGTTGAACTGGTATACCTAATGAAGTGGCAGGTGAGTGTATGGACGTGAGTTCTGATTCAAAGCTGTTAAACATCAGAGCTGCGCAGCCCGTGTTCTCTGAGTTTTGGTATTTTGTAGTGAGTCACAGCATTAAAAACAGAGGCGTACTAACTGACAGTAATATACCTCAAAGTGGAACATCATGTGGCCTTTAAAGTATCCTGAATACAAATGGGAGGATTATGTCCCAGCCCTGCCCACAAAGAACCAATTACCAGGTGAAACAGGAAACACATTAGCCAGTTATGCTGTTTCACTGATGCATGCACAATATAGTTTCATGGCAGTTTGTGGTGTCTACACGCTAAAATAAAAATGTGTACTGTTTCCTTTTCTTTGGTTTACTCAGTCAATGTTATGAATTAGCATGGTATGTGTTCAGTGTTCTCATAAGATTTACTGAACAAACACCACTCTGGATTGAGCCATTAAGAGATGTGATGTTTTGTAAAAATATAACTTTCTGGGGAATTAAAAGGATCTTATTGTATTTTTTAGCAAAATTAGCAAACAAGATATTATCAAAATAGCTCCTGATTAGTAAACTTACATCAAGAAGGATTTTGCTGTGAATACTCAGACATACTTAGCGGCTGACCAACTAAATAGATGTATAGATATGTAAATATGTGCTTCTTTCATATAGGCCCCATGAGAACATCTCCCACAGCACCAAAGAGTGTCCCCACCCCGCAGAGGCAGATAGCATCAGCCCGCAGGAACCCTCCTGTGACACGTAATGGAGGAGACGCTGAGCTCATAGAGCTCAACCAGCAGGTACCGCTGCCCTGATAACTTCTCAAGAAAACCCTGTAACAGAGGTCCTGTGCAGCTCTCACATCAAAACTGCATAATTACTCAAACCCTTCAGCATTAATGAAGTTGGTAGTGGTTTGGAAGCTTCCCAGATTTCTTTTTTCAGTGTGAGTACTGGTGCTGGATTCTGATTACTACTCTTTAAGAACCAGCCCACATTTCTGCTGATCTGCTCTGTGACACAGAGTTACTAACAGACCCAGGAGTACTTTTGGATGGAAATCTCTTAAGTCACTCTGCAGTGTCCCTCTCATAGCTACACATGTCAATAGTTTCAACTTTGGACATAGAAATTTTGTGCTGCCACCTTTTTGGCAGTGGAACCAGTCTTGGAGCTGGTTCCTTGTTTCTGTACCAGGACTGTGTCAGTGGGAAAAATGCAAGAGTGGTACAACAATTTAACTTTGGAATGTTTTTCTGACTCACACAAGTCAGGCTGAAAACACTGAAAAGGTTCTGATGTGACCAGCTCAACAAATCTTCACATCCTGTTAGTTGACTGTGGACATTAGTACACAAAATTTATATGTAGCTTTTTTCCTTAAAACGCTGCAGCTTTGTGAGCATGTTATGATATAATTTCTTCTCTTTTGTGTCTTCTATTTCTTTGTTTTTATTGTTGAACAACATTGTTGTTTCAGCTGCCTCCCTCATCGTTTTTTTTCCACGGTTGTTTCTGGTCATAGTTGCTCGATCTGAAGGTGACCGTAGACGGGCTGGAGAAGGAGAGGGACTTCTACTTTGGGAAGCTGAGAGACATTGAACTCATCTGCCAGGAGAATGAAAACAACCCAGTTTTGAACAAAATCATGGACATCCTGTATGCTACAGAGGTAAATACAGGCCAAAAATGTTTACTTACATTCAGCAATTACAGCACAGACCAGGAATTTGGGGGGGTGGACTGGTCTCAGGCTTTCATAAAATTTCTTGAGATATTACAAGAAATCAGACGATATGTTTGTTGGTTGTTAGAACGTTTATTTCCCACAGTATTCAGATTAATTCCTTTATCCCCTGACTTTACTGAAGGCATCACATACAGTATTTATGTCATCTGCAGGCTGGTGAACATTTGAATAGTCAAATGTTCACCAGCCTGCATTCAGAGTTACATGCTCCACACTGCTTGCAGTCATGCACATGTTTTCAGGTAATGAGCCAGTTATAATTCCATGAATTCCTGATTATGGAATTTTAAACATTTTAGGCTGATCTGAGCCATGAGCAAAGTCCAGTTTGTTTACCTTGTTTGATCACTGTGACACGGTTCATTTAGATTCAGGCATGTGGTACGATGCTAACAGTGGCTGAGCATAGACCTTTGACACATCTGAAACTACAGCTGCTTCTATGACATAATAATAGTAAGACACAAGAGAGGACAGCTTGTCACTGCTTCCAAAAATGGCTCTAATTAAACCACAAGATGCATAAAATCACAGACCTTCTGTGTTCTCTGTGAGTGCTTTTCAAGCACTCCCCAAAGCTAGCAAGTGTGAGGCAGGAGGGGTGAGGTGCTGGGACAAACTCAAGAGTACTCTGGTACTCTTTATTACGTGCATTATGAGTGGAGACCAGCGAGGGAGTGGAGGTGGGTGATGGTTGTACTTTCCATGGTACAAGACCCATGTCAGAAAGATTCAAAAATGAATTATACATTTATTTAAAGTGTGTTTGTAATATTACGAGGAAAATCCCATATTCCACCTGCCGTACGTATCTCATGATTATTATTTGATATGGCTGCATTTTACTACTTTCTGTAATCCATCACAGCATTTTGCAGCCTTTACCTAAATCTGGTTAGATTACCACAAAATTAGAAATCAGCCTGTCAGTAAAGCAATAAAGCACCTCAGTGAGGTACAGAGACATCTGAGTGAACAGCTATGTGTTTTAACGTATTGCTGCAAGGAGGAAATCTTTAAAAATACTGAGATTATGAACAAATGTAGCAAAAAATTTATGAAAGATGACCTGCAGCTGGTAAAGCCTGAAACACTGATCTTATCTTTTCCAGGAGGGATTTGCACCACCAGAAGATGATGAAATTGATGAAGGAGCACGAGGAGAACACGAGGAGTACTGAAATCTTCCTCTCCTCTTTATCACCGTCACCACTCCTCCACCTCCCTTCCTTTAATCTGACCTTAATTGCCATTTTTGCCCCTTTTTGTTTTCCCTCTAATTAGTTTACATTTTACAAACTCCCCTTACTTCGCCTGTCTTGTCCACGGCTGTCCATCTCACAACATGTTTGTTGTACAGCCTCACTTCCTTTCCAAACTCTTACTAGTAAAGGACGCTTAACCCGGACCGGTCTGGACTCGGACCCAGCAGCCTGGCTTGGCTTACTCGACTTGTTCTAACCTGATGGGACAACTGTGCTGCGGGGCTTCTCATCCTGCTGGTGTGTCGCAGGTTTATAGTTAACAGCAGTAAGATGACAAACAGCTCTGGAGTGCTATGAATCTGTCTGATGAGTCAGGTCACTTTCTCCCATCATGCACTCTGATTGACCACACACAGACACACATATTGATCGGGGTTCTCTGCAAAGTTTATACATGAAACCACACAATGTTTTCCACATAATGTGATCAGCTTTAGAAGATTTTGGCTGGAAGTGGCTCAAAGTGAGATTATAAAAAGGCGTTAAGCCTATCCAGAGAGCAGCATGCACGCTGCACACGATGACACATGTGAACGCCAACACAGACATATCACAGACTCTGAAATGCTCACATGTATGTCGTAAAAAAGTAATCATTCTGAGGTGAAGCATCACAGATATGTTTTTATTCATTAAGTCGTCCCAGCACAAAGGGTTTGCTCATGAAACTGTCCAGACAGCTTGTTTAGGAGCCATTAGATGTATTTATGTTTTTATTTATTTATATTTTTTAATCTGCTCTAAACAGTTTCTGAAAAAACACAAGATGGGGTTTGTAGAAACTGAAGGTCTTGCACTAAATGTAGCAAAAAAAGCTGACTGAAATGATCCAAAATGCCAACATGCAGTGACTGGCTCCAGCCAGAACGACACAGAAAGATGCAATTTTATATTTTGTAGATTTGTTGAAAAAGACTTGTTTTTTTTTGTTTCCTTTGCATTGATTTCTTCAGTGGCCAAGTCAGAGGCATAAGTTTAAACTTATTTAAATGTCAGGCTTTGAATTCTATCAATGAACAAATGTAAAAAAGAAGACTATAGAGGACACTACTAAATACTAATGTTTGACCGTTTTAATTGAGTTAAACATTTTAGCTGCTATCACTACACTTCTGTTGTTGTATTTAATTGAATTTTCATAAGTCGCATAGCGTTAACACACCACAATGGCTGCCATGGAATTAAAGGTTTGTTTTTTGTGATTGACAGCCAGGCTGAGTGTGATTGCCATTAGTTGGATCAGTCTGAGAGAAGAGAACATCAGACCCTCTCTCACCTTGCCATGGCAGCTGTGTGATAAACTTGCATCATTTGGATTTACTGCTGGAATGAAATAAAGCTATGAGTTTCAAGAAAAGTAACAGACCTCATCACTGTGTGCTGTCTGCTGCCGTGTTTTTACAGAGATATAGACTTTATTTAATCCCACACTGGAGAAATTTCCTTGTTACAGCAGCACAAGGGACAGGAAGAAAAGGTAAATTAGAGACATAATAGAAAAAAAACAAAAATAGAAAAAAATAAATAAGAAAAATAGTAAACAAAATAGCCACAATGCACACATGGTTACTACATATAGTAAAATACACCAAGATTTTACTTTTTTATATGTGCATAAAGCGCAGTGGGAATGATAACAATATACATGCATTTTTAAACAGTATTTCTCCTGTCTGGGTATGGTACAGCCTGACTGCTGTCGGGATGAAGGACCTGTGCAGGATCAGTCCTACACCGTGGCTGTTAAGTATACTACTCAGAGACCCCACAGTCTCATGTAGTTCCTGTTTTCTATTCATTAGGAGCAGCGTTTTCTATTTACATCATTTTTGCTTATGCAAATCAGCAGCATACTGATCACATCACACACACAACAGTCAGGCCCAGCACATGTTTGCTAAATGTTGCCTCCATGCGCCTCCGTAGAAGTCAAGCAGTCAGTTGCATTGATATCTCTTTGGACCTCATATTGAAAGTTACAGTGAAAAGTTCAACAGTTTGAATCAACTCCAGATCTTTTATCGGCTTAATCTGAGATGAAATAATGAGGGAACGGCCTCCTCAAATATTTACAGGCTCACATACTGGACATAGTTCTACAACAATGCATAGGTCTGCTACTATGTTGCCAAGAAAGCTTTCACACATGGAAAAATATTTATGAATCAGTAGTGAGATGTTTTCCGACCTACAAAAGAGCAAGACACACTGAGACGTCCACTCAGTTTCAGGATTATGCTTCCACTTACAGTGAGTGGAGGAGGTCTGCTGAGGGATTTGGGAGGTTTGTGCCAAACACTAAGCGACGCTGCAGGATGTACTTGACCGTCTGTTCCACAGAGATGGCAGCCAGACAGAAAACTGCAGCATGCTGATGGTTTAATTGGACCTGGCAGTTATCAGTGATGATAGCGTAGAGGATGAGATAATGAACTTTTCACAGGCAAATGGAAATGAGCTGAATGTTTTTATTCAAAGCTGAGCAGTAGAGTACCTGATGTTCAGCTTCCTGTTCACAAAATAGAAAATAAGCCTTTGAATTTTACCTGTTTGCTGAGCCAGGAATGGATAATAATGGACAGAGGCAGTGATTCAAACATCACAGTTTGAGTGGGATTTTTTTAAAGCATGCAGCTTCATGATAGAATTAGTTATGTGTCATATTTAGGATTTCAACTATTGGCATATATTATTATAATCCATATATCTTCAAAACTCAATTAAAATAAAATAAAATAAAATAAAATAAAATAAAATAAAATAAAATAAAATAAAATAAAATAAAATAAAATTTGAATTTGAATTTGAATTTGAAAACGAAACGTCAAATTTTCTAGAGGCTGCGATGACTACAAATTATTTGTTTACAAATTATTTGTTTTGTCAATTATGATCCAAAACAGATAATTGTAACACTTGAAGGTAGAACCAGTGAGTTGGACTAAATCTAGAATATCTGATGCTCTAAATATGCTTTAGAGATCATTTTCACAATTAGGTAATTATTGATTAATGAAATGACATTAAATGCCTAATATTGTCTGACTACTAAAATAAGGTAAAATAACAAAATGGTAAGTTGTATGGGTGAGAGGTATGAAAGAGGTGTGGTAGAGATTGTGACCGGAAAAAGAAAAGGTACATAGGTGGGAGAGTGGAAATTGTGGACAAAGGATGTTGGAGTTGGAGCTCTCGGGCAGGATTAAAAGAGGACCACTGTACTCTATAGAATCTAAAATGGCTCAATAATAATTAATATAGTATGGCATAACAAAATAGATAAGAGATAACCCCAAGGATATTAATTTTGGTATTAAGTTAAAAAGTATTGAAATGTAAGTTTTGCGCTAATTCTTTTTAATTTTTTTGAAAATTTAAAAACAGTTATCAGCAGTTGCTGTTTATTTTACAATAAATTGTAGATTTTTTAAAATGTATTTTATGTTTTTTTAAAACCGAACTCGTATTATTGTTGTATTTAGTTGTGTTTAAAATGAATCGGGGTCGTCTATGATTCCGTCTTGAAGACACGTTTAATAAATTCCGTGTTTAAACTTGTTCCGTTCGGCTACGAACACGAAAGTTAACGGTCCAAACACATCACTCTGACGTCATGCCGACATAGAGACGTGGCACGCGGACGGTTAAACGCTCAGAGCAGTTTACGCAACGTCCTCTCGTTCATTCAGCAGAAGGGAGGTAGGAGGCAGGAAGTCACGGTACCGAACTAATAACAGCCCATCTGGACCCGGAGACATGGCTTCAAATAACGGCTCGGTCGGAAAATGGGAGGTGGTGAAGAAAGGCAAGAAAAATAGCAACAACTCCGGCGGAGGAGGCAAGGTAGCGGCCGACAAGAAAGCCAGCGGAGAAAGGAAAGCCCTGGGCGAATCTAACCAGCCGTCCAGACGTAAGTGAACACGGCCCACTGCTAGCTGCTGAAGCTCAACTTCACGCAGCATTACTTCCTGGTATTAATTTTATCTCACACCGTCTGCGGTTTTACCAGCTCAGCTCTGAGTGGCTCTACCTTAAGTCCGTGTGTCGGCGTGAATTTTAAACTACTAGCTGAGCGGCCTTTGTGCTTCGTGCGGCTAGTTAGCTCGTTAGCAGTGTCAACAAAGTGAACGTCAGCACTGAGAGAGTCTGTCAGCATGTGTGAGACGCTTTTTGACCTTTGACCTCCCTTCAGCTGCTCTTTCGAACGAGCCTGAAGGTGTTTTTGGTCATCTTGGAGCTGATCGGTATGACGTTAAGCAGCATTAGTTTGTTTTTACCTCGCCTACAGTGATGGTTGTCATTTCTCTGGGGGTAAATATTTAACAACGTGGCCATTTAAATCTTATGCTACACGTTTAGCCATGGTTTTACTTCAGCTTTATGCCTCATAAACAGTTATCACTGCTATTATCATCGTTTATATAAATAGATTAAACTCGTTACTCTATTTTGTTATTACTTCTGACTTTATTTTCTTACTTATTTAGAAGGACTCCTATTAGTAACAATACAACTTACTGTTCCTGTTTACCTATAATCCTCGAGGTGATCAGTGTCCGAGTTATATTTTTGTTTGAGCCTTCTGGTGTAAAGGGCAAGTTTTTATAAATCAGAAGATGTAGGGTACTTTTATGAGTGATCTTTGAAAAATCAGAAACCTGGATGAGCTTTTCAATTCCAATTTCACCTTTAAGAAACCCGGCCACCCAGTCCTGCTTCTATCATCTAAACAATATTGCAAGGATACAACAATACTGACACTCCAGCTGTCACTTACGCTTTTCTTTCCTCTATTTAAATTGTCATGCACTTTTAATATGTTTCAATCAGAAATAAGGGTCTGAGTACCCCTAAGTGCACTACATATGGTACACTGTTGTTTAGCTTGTGTCTTGGTGTTCTGTCCTTGGGATGAACCGGTCTTTGAAAGTGATGCTGGATCTGAAGTGCATTGGGATGCTATGCTTGGAGAAAATGCTTGTTCTTCTTTACTTTGAACTGCATACGTTGTTTCTATAGTAAATGATAACCACAGTGAATATAAATAATATAAATAGCTAATTTTGATTTTTAAAAATGTTTTTCTGCTAATAACTTTTTATCGAGTAAAGTTTACTCAGGTTTTTACTTATGTCTTCTGATCAAACATCGAGTGAAGATTCTATTGACATTCCTCACATGAATAAAGTCACTGGAGTGTTGGATCTCAAACTTGTCCTCCTTTTAATACTATCAGTGGCAGCAGGAGAATTCTCATTGTTAACCAGAAATGTCAAAGTTGGAATAAGGTGCTAAACTCAGTAGTTTGATTTACACCTTTAAAAATTGGAAAATGAAACCTAATTCGGTAACGTTGCTATGACAAGTTTAGACGTGCAGTTAGGTGATATTAATACTGAATTACCAGCAGCTTCAATCTACCACATTGCTGAAACATTATGTCAACCTAATGATGTTTTGTTTTTACTGAGTATGAAGCCCATACTGAAGCTGGAGCTGCTAATCTACTTATTCATTTTTTTCTGCCATGTTTTAAGAACCAGAATTAATTTGTGTTTTATCAAATCTTACGTACCAAACAAACCCTGCTGTTCCCTCTGTTTAGAGTCCCGCCCGGTGTCTCCTACTATGTCAAAGACTGACAAACACCATAGTTATCTTTATCTGTGTTAGAAATTACTCTTCATAAGGTCAACATATTATTTACTGACCTCTGATCAATTTCTACCCTTAAATTGACCAAAATACTTTCTGTTCACTAAATCTAGCAATAGCAGCTTGAAGAGGCTTCACTGAGTCTTTTGATTTTTGGATGATCATCACAAAATGATCATATCTCACTTTGCTGGAGCTGTTTGTTTCTGCTTCATTTTTATCACTGAATCTTACTGTCCAAAGTCTGATCACTGTGGCTGATTCAGTGGGGAAGTGGTGTAAAGCTTTAGTCTAAAGCTTATAAGAAATAAACCTGATCTGTTTAGTAAACGAACTCTCCAACACTTTATGTGAATCATTTTATTAACACAAACAACATAATCACACATTCAGAAAGATATTTTGCCAAATCTCAGTTTGTTTCTTAAAGGCTTTCATCAGGACTTGATCATGAGGCTGTTACTTTTGGGTCTGTGGTTTTGACACATAAAACTGGAGGATTTTTTTTTTTTTTAAACTTTAGCCTGGAGGGATTACGTATGTGGTTGAGCAAGAAAAGTGTTGCAGCAAAATCAGGCATTATGTAAGTGTTCAACAGATAAGAGCGTGAAGCTTGGATCACAGAGAAGAGTGGTAAATGTCTCTGCCTTTACTGTTTGCATTATTTAAAAAGCCCTTTAAATCAGTGATGTTTATGATTGGGCGTACCTGGCCAGCGACTGCAGATGGGAATTAGCTAGTAGATAAATCTGGTACAAGACATCTTTTCTCTTATGAGGTCAGTGTTTTGGTCCCTGACAAATAAAGAACTGCTTGTATGATAACCATGTTCGGCTTTTTGTTCCCACATGTCTAAACATGTGAGAACCACAAAGCTTGAATTTAAGGAAGCTTAAAAACATCATCTCAGCTATTATTGGCTTTTAGTGGCCCGTGGATTAGGGCAGTAAAATTTGTTCTTTTTGGTATTTTGTCTTGATAGAAACTATAATCTGAAAGCTGTCACACGTTAATGATTTCTGCTAATATGCTTCTTGTAGTAAATTACACCAAAATGATCCCAAAAACTGTTGTTTCTTTGAGATGGTTTTAAATAGTTTCATAAAACTGAGATGAAAAATCTACTATCAAAATGACTAGGGAGTCTGACTGTAGACAGTAAAATGTGAGATCCTGTTAGTTGTTGTTTCACAGTGGAGCTTTTGAGCCCACTCATAATACTACAGCTTATAGCTGCCTACCCCGCACCAGCCTCGAATGTAAAGCATAGGGTGAATGACTGCTGGAAGTCATAGATGTTACATTTAGGCTTATGTTTGAAATACTAATTACATTGCAGTGTTTCCCACTAATAGAATTTACTCAAGCGACACACTCAAAGATTTGAGTCATGAAAATATATTCTTCGCTCTTATTTTGAAAGTTTAGCTAGCTCTGATCCATCACATGTTTTGCGATTTGCTAGCTTTGTTGTCAGTTCTCTCCTTGAAATCTTTCAGCTATCCGGAGTCCTTCGTCTCAGTCAGGCTAATTTTAACACCACTATCTTGGGCTTCAGCTGGAGACATTAGTCCTCTCTGCTGTGGAGAACCCACATAAGATCCAGAACTAGAACCTGCAGCAGGTGAAGAACTGGTCACTACGCTGAGCTGACCGAGTTTGGAGAGCGGAAAAAGGACTGCTGTCATCAGCAGCAGTCCAGTGTGAGGAAGTTACTAGAGAGCCAGCAGCACAGTCTTGTGACAGTTCATGAAATGGTCACAACATTTAATCTGTGGATTCATATTTTGGGCTCTCTCTCGTACTGACTTGTATTCATGTACACAAAAAATGAAAAGAATATTCCCAGTTTCAAAGAGGGGAAAAAGGTGACATTTAGGCTACGTTCACACTTCAGGCGAAAGCGCATCAAATCCGATTTTTAAAAAAAAAATTTTTTTTATACCCTATGCGACCCATATCCGATCATGGTATGACAGTGTGAACGGCACAAATCCAATATTTTCAAATCCGATCTGGGTCACTTTCGTATGTGGTACTGAATCCGATACATATCCGATGTTTTAGAAAGCGACTGCTGTTTGAATGGTCATGTCGCATTAAATCCGTCTTTTACGTCACTGACACAAGACAGACGCCAATTATCAGCGCCAGAGAAGCGCCCGAGAAGACATCGCGAATACTTCCTGGCCATCCAGTGTAGATGTCAGTGAAACTGTTGGGAAGACAACGTTGGAGAGCGTTTGCTGTCACATTTTTTCTTTGTAGTGTGAACAAGCAGACAAAAAAAATCTGAATTGAGCATTAACACCTGCACCTTAGAGAGAGCGGGGGTTGAATAATTTTACTGCTCACACCAGAGACCAGTTTGAGTCCCACATGGGAAACATTTTTACACTTCAGTTGGATTATATTAATTGTGTTATTTAATTATTTTCAGAGCTCAATGTTCGTCCAACTCCCTAATCTCAGAAACATACAGATAAAAATTGAAGATACGGCATGATTCATTCAGAAAAATAAATGATCAGTATGTTAAACCTTCTGTAATCCAACCTTCAAGTTAAATTTTATTAGCTTTTTGCTTCTTATTGCTCTAAAACTTTAGAATGCCTTCCCTCTTTGCTGAGCGAAGTCAGTCACCCATGCTTGTAAAGCTTGTGCACAAGAATTTCACTGGCATGTTCTGTACCAGTGTACCTGCACATGTGATGTGACAATAAAAGTGACTTGATTTGATTTTGATCAGGACACTTCTGTCTTTGTTTTGAACTGTTTGTCATTTACAAGGACTGCTGGTATTTTCCCAAGTCTGCAGTCATGTGCTTCTTTTTTTTTTAAAAACAGATGTTAATTGGTTGGTTTTAAGGAAACCAACCACTTCGCTTAAAGTTCCCTGTTCACTTAGACTTTAAGTGATTATCCACTGCAGACAATAGTGCACAAGGTCCCAGATAAGGTTGCAAGGATTTCTGAGTCATATGATGCCATGAGAAAAGACATTTCAAGCTCCACATTTTGTTAAAACCTCGATAATTAACCAGGGAGTCTACTGTTTCAGCAGAATCATTCCATGAAACATCAGTTTCATCAACCTCCCCCACCCGCCATCACCCTCTCAGAATCAGCTGATTTATTTATTGGGTGCAAAAACATTGGTATATTTGTTGAAGCCTTGCATAATTTCACCTCTATATTAATGTATTTTCAGAGTTATAGGTCTGTGGTGGGCTGAAATTCAGTGTTTTATTTTATTTATTTTTATATATTTTCCAGTATTTTTAGGCCTCATACAAATTTTTTTGTTTTTCATTTCCCAGCTGAAAAAATACAGATGAAACTGCCATGCAGGCCACAAGAAAACAGCTGAGCACTAGATACCAAAGATTACAAGACTGTAAATATAGACAGGTCTTTCCATGCCTTGATCCTAAAGCTTTGATCGTGGTAACTTTCCTCCCTGACTTGAAAAATGCTATAACAATCTTTACAGTTTCAGTGATCAACACACACAAGCACACATTCATGCAGCATTTGATTGCATACTATGCAGCTCTTCTACTATCACACACACTCACATGCCTGTTAAACCTCTTCATATGTTTCTCTCGTTATATTTTGAGCTTCTCTGTAAAACATGGCACACTCATGTTTGAGACTAAAAATAGAGACATGCTGACTCTAAATCCACATGTGTGACTAAAGCTTGATTTGGTTCAGTCCAACTTCTATTTTTCTCATGAAAAAGCACAGCCGCTCAGTTATGATCACAGATAGAGTTTAAAAAGGAGCTCCATTCTGAAACGGAGTACAGGAAAGAGACAGCACTGTGACTGACACGATGGCCTGAGTTGGAGTGAAGGAAAACATTTTTCTAGAGCCAACAGAAGCAGCCCATATTACTGTGATCACTATAAATGCTTCATAGGTCAAAGGCCAATTTGAGTCGTTCGTCAAATCACCTCATTAACCAGCTTAAATTTAAAGAAAAGTGATCTTAGTTCCTGCCATCCACCCCTGGTGTGTTTTGCACACAAAATGAAAAAATGATTGATCACCAACAGAGTAAAAACTGGTAAGCAGTTAAATTGCTCTCTGATTTCCCCACAGTCTGTAAAGGTGTCAGATTTATTCCAAGCTGCAGGTATTTGATGGGAAATGAATAAAAGCAGAACAGGGTCAATTTCAATGTATTGCCACTTTCAGCCAGTGAGAGAGCTTTGACATCTTATAAATACAATTACTTGTTATTGCCTTTATAAAACATTGCAAATAAGTATTGATTTAATATCAAAGTACAGGCTCTAAAAAAATAAATAAGGCGTTCTTAACTTTGTATAGGTCCTCAAAACTGTTTACCAGAAACACACAAGGGGGAGAGCTGGAATGCTGTTGGTGCTTAACTCCAGTCCTTTGTGAATTGTATTGAGTGTGCCACAAATATTCCTTTGGGTAACAGCCCATTACACAAGGCGTGGAGGGAGGGCAGAAGGGGGTAAGCAAGACGCTGAGGAGAGTAACTTGATTTTTAGGACTCAGGATAGAGGAGTCACTGCATTTCACTGCAGCTGCTTTGTTTTGTCCTTCAGCGCCCGTGAAGATGTCAGAGAGTCTGTATGACAGCTTGGAGAAGGTGGGAAAGAAGCAGAACAAGGAGCAGGTTCCTCCACCATCCGAGCCTCAAAACAAGAAGCCCTCATCAAGTAAACCACCCAAGAAGTCGTATTCGAGCAATACAGCCTCTCCCACAACTTACAAAACCCTCGAGGAGGCGTTCAAAGCGGTCAGTAAGAGACATTTTCTTAAGTTGACTGATATTAAACTCAATGGAAATTTAGTGAAAGAAATGACCCAAAATGATCTCTAAACAAAGCAGCATTGTTACATCTTCAAAGCCAACTGTCACATGCTGAAACCGATCTAGCCTTTGCTTGGAGGGTGTGTTCTTTTTGAGACTCCATTGCTGATATTTTTCTCTTGTCCTGTCTTCAGCTGGATGTTGCAGACCTGAAGCAGCAGTTGGCTCGCAGTCAGACCCTGTTTCCAGAAAACCCTTCGGTTTGGATCAAAGATCTGGCTGGATACCTCAACCTCCATTTAACTGCCCAGGACACGGAGCCCACACTCAGCAGCCACCCTTATGGTCAGGCAGACTCTTATTTTGATATGCCCATTTATTTATCGTGCGGTTAAAGCATTTCAATACTTAAGTCTTCCTGTTTGTCTTTTCTGTCCCAGACTACCCATACTGCCTTACAGGAAAAGAGCTGAGGGGCGTGATCAAAGGCCTCATCGGACGTTGCAGCAGCGCTCTGCCAGATTTCTTCGACCACTGTGTTTACACTATGCTCAGGGAGTTGGACAGGCAGTCAGGTAAACCCAGGAGAACCTCTTACATCCTTTTATTGATGCGACTTTACTCAGTAGAACATTAACAGACAGGGAAAAATGTGCCAAGATACCAAAGCTGCAGAAATCTCAATAATAAACTTAAATGTTCTGTAAGTTGAAATAATATTCTGATTGAATATAAAACATATAAAACGTTACATATGAACCAAATAAATACATGCAAATAAACAAGGGGGTAAATAGGTGGGGGGGATGTTTATGCCCAGGTTAGTGGTTGTCTTTGACCATAAAAACCATATCACCTCAATGGCAGCACAGATAGAGGTGAAGAGAAGGCCAGGTGGTCGACATACTTGTCTGCCTCACAAAGCCCACAAGGTAGCAACAGGCCTGAAGCCAACATCTGAAAGCAGATGAGATGAGAGATCCTGAAAGAAAGGCAGCTGCAGGCAATCATTATGTTCCTTCCTTGTATTCACTTTCAAAAAGCTTTTGTTGTGTCTAGATTCATCTATTGATCTAGATTGATCTTTGCACGAGCTAAACTAAACAAGCTTTTAGCGAGGAGCAAAAGTGCACTGCTGTGAAAGAAAGTGATGTCTTGTGGTGTGACTGTCTTGGCAGTCAGGGGACAAAAAACAGCAAAGATCACTGTTATGGTTCAACGCTAGGGTGGGGTCAAAACCCATCATGACTCAAACCTCAAATTATCATTATTTACCTTTTAACAAACTCTAACCAAGAGCAGTCAGCAAGGTCACCAGGATGCCTCATGAAATAAAGATTTTACCCAAGCATTGTTTCAGTTTTTAGTTAAAATTCATAAAGCAGAAAAAGAAGCCGAAAGTACCAATACCTAAAGCTTATTGTTTTTATTTCCAGGAGAACCTCTACATGGCTACAGAGTTTGCATTCAGGCAGTCCTGCAGGACAAACCCAAAATAGCCACCCAAAATCTGCCAGAGGTGAGTGTGTGACTGTCACTCCGGCAAATAATCAGCAGCTTTGCTACTCTTGTCCTGCTGTGCATGTTATTACACTAAAAGCTCAAGCTATATTTTTCCTAACATTTCTGGACATGTGTAATATTATCAAATTATGTATTATATTTTCAAACTGGTAGTTTCAGAGGGGGTATTGCTGGATTTGTCTGTTTGAATAATTTTGCATTATTATATTGTAAAACTCTCCCTTCTCCTTGTTCCTTTTCTGCAGTATTTGGAAATGTTGCGGTCAGTTCAGAATCGTCCAGTAAAGTGTTTGACCATCATGTGGGCTCTGGGCCAAGCAGGATTTTATGATCTCAGCCAGGGTCTAAGAGGTAATAAACACTTTTACACAGAGGCACACAATAATTTCAATATTTTACATTACCGCATATCCATAAAGCCCAAAACTGCTCTGAACAAGTAGGCATTTGCCCAGTATTAGTCCAGATCTGTCTGTTTTCCCCTTTCTCCCACTTTCCCAACAATGTGTGAAGACAGACATTCTGGGTTGGGGTTCACTGAAGCAACAGAGCACATTAGAGCAGTAATATTCCCCCCTGATAGCTGCTGGTGCTCCAAGTGTTATTAGTTAGTGTGACTATATTAAATGTTTACAGTGCAAAATTGCAATGAAATTTAGGGGGAAATGGTGTCTAAAATTACTGATTTAGTACAAAATCACACCCAAAGTGTGATTAAATATATTTATTTTCACTTTAACAGAAGAAAAGCTTCCTAAACTAAAGAAAATGTTATTTGTTTCAGTGTGGCTGGGCATCATGCTCCCTGTGCTGGGAGTGAAGTCTCTGTCCTCATATGCCATCGCCTATCTGGAGAGACTTCTCTCGTAAGTCTGACTCAGAAATCCATGAAATTTCTCAAATTTCTTCATCTTCCAGACACTTCCTTTCCATTCATTTGTAGTACTTGAACTATTAAGATCATTACCAGTGATACCTTTAATTTGAATGTCATGGATATTTCAACATACTTTAATTCTTTTCCCAGACTTCATTCAAACCTGACAAAAGGATTTGGTATTATGGGTCCGAAAGAGTTCTTTCCTTTGCTCGATTTTGCTTTCATGCCAAAGAACGCCCTGTCACCAAGGTAAATGTAAACCAGTGCAAACACAGACCAACAGCAAGACATATCAGACTGTTCATAATCTCTGTTTAGAAATAAAAGCATTGCAAAAATGTTATCTGCGTTCTGAGTCCTAATATATTTTTTTCTGTTTTTTATTACAGTCTGCAGGAGCAGCTGAGGCGTTTGTATCCTCGACTGAAGGTCCTCGCATTTGGTGCCAAGCCAGAGAACACGTTGCACACGTACCTGCCGTCATTTCTGTCCAGAGCCACGCCACACTGTCCCGACGACATGAAGAGGGAGGTGAGACCCACAATTCTGTATACATTACTGCTGCTACTGTACTGTTACAGCAGCCATCACAACACGATCTTTGACAAAAGTGATTAAATAAAGCAGAACTGCTCAATAAAATTGTGTTCTCACTAAACGATGTCAAAGAATACATTATGAGTAAAATGATAAAAATGAACCGCATTGTCTTCTGCTTCTTGCAGCTGCTCAGCAGTATGACTGAGTGTCTGTGTGTGGATGTTCAGAGTTTAGGAGTGTGGAGGCAGCTCTACACCAAACACCTACCCCAGTCCAGGTAACCTGTGGACCATAAATTTTTTTGTCTTTTTATTTATGATCACATCTCCACATAAGGTAAACTGTACAAATGAAGATGATTTCAAACTGATTTCAGACTCACTGCTTTCTTTCCTCAGTTTGCTTTTGAACCACTTATTAAAGTCCTGGAACATCCTTCCACCAAAGGTACAAGGGCTGTCACAATGTCTGTTGGCTCATAAACCAAACGCACCTCCCAGGGATACTGTTATTTAAACATCAAAGCCTGTGTAACCTGATTAATAATGCAGTTTTAATGTAACTTGTATTTTTATTGTCTTTTAATCCCATCACTGTGTTTTACTTGGACTTTTTTTTGTTTTTAGCTTCGGAAGAACCTCGAGGAAACGATCCAGTCTTTTAGAGTGACCAACGAAGAAATGAGAGACACCATTGAATCTCATGACCTTCAGGAGTGCAACAGCCTGTGCCAGGTGAGCAACTCGGCCTGTTCATGTTTGTTTAAAAGGAAACTCGCGATTTCAAAAAAGTCTGGGTTAGACACGAAGATAGTGTAAATATTAAATCATGAAGCACCTCTACAATATGAAAGTGAGCAATATTTATAAAGTGCTGACAGAAGGCATAAAAAGCTTAAAAAAATTAAGATATAAATTTAGGAACTAAAACTAAAGGAAGGAAGAGAAGAATATTAAATTGAAAGCCTATTAAAGAGATCAGTAGTGTTGTGATATTGGAACGACTGTTTTGGGACTTACTGGGTAGTTTCCAAGCATCAAGGGCAGAGTTACTGAACTGGAGAACCTGGTGAGTTGCAGATGGGAGTACTGGAGAGATGAATGCATGAATGAGCATGTGCAACTCCTCTTTAAAAACTTCTTCTGACATTATCCCTGCTTCTTGGGCAACAACTAGAGATGTATGGAATCATAAAGCTAACACTTGGATTATGAACCTTATTTGACATGTGCTTTGTGTTTCTCCAGAATCTGCAGGTAAAGATGCGTGGTCACGGGTTCCCCTGGTCCAAGCTGCTCCTGGTTCTGCTCGTGTTCGTTGCCGGCTTCATCGCCCACGACGTCAGATCAAACGGCTCTGTCGCAGGTCTGTCAGAGTGCCGTTTACTCACCATATTCGCCTATCTTTGTATCTGTGGCCTACTCATTGTGTTTATATTACGTTTCAGATTCCATCACAGCCAGGTATCTGCACTCCTCAGGGATCACAGCTGTATCTCAGCAGGCCTGGAGCAAAATAACAGTCTACTCAAAGCAGGGCTTCAGGTACGATCATTTCTAGTCAACAGAGCCGACACTTAAAAATGATCCATAAAATCTAAAACAAGCTTCTGACTCACTTCCTGATAACGCTCAGGCACACAGTGTTTTATTCCCTGTGGTTTGTTGGCTTTTATTTAGAATTCTATATTAATATAGATTTATTAGATTAACCTGCTGTTCTGCCATAAAATTATTTGCTTTTAAAAAGAAAATTTAAAAAAATGTATGGCTTTTTCTTTTCTTCTATTTTTCCTCTAATGAAGATTGCAGTTATGATCATTATTGTCTGTATTGTGTGTTTTGTATTTTCTGTAGCTGGTTGGAGACAAACACTCCTTATTATTACTCTGAGTGTGTCCGGGTTTTGGGTCCAGTAACGGAACAAGGTTTGGAAAAGGCAAAGTCAGCAGCTGTCTTCATCTCTGAAAACACCTCACGGTTTATTGTCTGGGTTAAAGAAACCACACCTCTTGTCATAGAATGGGTAAGGCCATGGCTACAGCTCCACCTGACCTTAAACATTTAAATGTTGAAGTACAATTGTTCTTTTTTTTGGGGGGGGGGGCTGAAGCACAGCTTTCTGGGTGTGTATTAAACAGTCCAGCTGGATTATCATTTCATCCTTTTGTGGATTTATTTGTGTTTATACTGTGTCACTTTTCCCCCTTAATTAAAATTTTGAGCATTACATAAGAAACTACCAGATAACTACCAGTCTGACTCTGATTGTGTTGCATGTCTTTGTCCAGGTGAACACCAACACCCCAGAGAGTGTGTTCCAGGCTCTGGCATATTTGAAGGAGCTCCTCATCTTCCTACATCAAAACTACATCCTGCCAGCGCTGGCGTACACATCTAACCTGCTACAGAGAGCATGGGCCAACTTAGAGGACTCTTGCAAGTCAGTACTAACAGCAGCTCTTTAACAGTTAATCTTTATTACTACATGCCTGAGTTTGGGGCAGTTAAACCGGCTGGGACTGGTTTCACAAAGATGTATTTGGTCTGTGGGGTTAAACAAGAAGAACAGCACAGCTTGTATTAGAATAATCTGACTAAAACGAAGACACCTTACCTCTGGGCTGCCTAACTATAAGAATCTGTGGCACTGCTGCAACAATGATTTAACTATGAAGCCCTCGTTATGGTGCTTGTTGGGATGAAACGTGATTCACCTTTACTTATTGCTGTGTTTTATTGAAGCCATTGAGAAATGCGTGCAGGTTACCAGTTGCACTGACAGATGTAGTGACATGCCAGTTTATCCTGCTGGAGTTTGGACCTCGTTCCTATTTGTTCTTTAAAGGGAGTCGCTCACCAGAAGTTTGGCTGATCTTTGTAGGCTTTGTCTGTGTACGTTTCTCCTATTTGCACAGTACCGTCACAGCACCACACACATTTCACTTCTCAGCAGTGTGTTCTTCTTCTGTTTACTGGAGCCAGGTAGTTGCACCCAGCTGATAAACAATTGGACTATTTTTTCCATTCATTCATCCTCTGACAACTGTCCAGGTCTCGGTTGTGAGGGCAGCAGTCTAAAGCAGAGATGCATCAGCGGCCTTTTCCTTGGCTGTTGATAACCTCTGAGGTGATTGACAGATGAACTCTGTAATGATCTGTCACTCAGTTATGAGTAGTGTAGTAGACAAATGTGTTTGTTTGTATTGTTTAAAAGGAACTAAAAGCATCATTAAAGCTGCAGTGAGTGATTAATTTTTTTTTTTTTTACTTTCTCTGTTGCAGTGGGGAGGTGTCTGTATCATGTCTGCAGGGCCACGCCTTGTCCTTTACCAACTCGACGTGGCAGCTTCTCCAACACACGACCTCGGCAATCAAGACATGGGCCCAGGATTTGCTCACTCGAGTGGGATAACGCAATACACACACAATATGCACACAGGAAGCTAAACACACCAACACACACACTCTGGCCCAGCGTGAGTCTGTCATGTCCCTTGTGACACAAGTGGATGCCGCAGGGTCAGAGGGAAACGAGCTCACTCAAAAAAGACCCTTTTTGTCTCTTGTTTTGGTTAAATTTTAAAATCAGTTTGGTGTTGTTTAGATGTTTTTTTTTTTTTCTATCAGTCTTTTTGTCACTGCTGGATACGGAGGTTGTACCCTTCTTTCTCTCTCCCTGAGTTTTATACTGCAAATTTCAGCCACTGCTTGAGCCTCTGGGTTAGGCAGGTTCTGTAATTTATAGAAAATATAGGTTTGTAGATGATTTATAAAAGTTTTTATTTAAATATAATTAAAAAAAAAAGTGTTGTGAAAGTTGGTAAAGGCAGGGAACATGTCAGAAACGTCTCCAAGCCACTGAAAACCTCATCAGATGGTCAAGTCATCTTTAACACCTGGTCCTGTGTGTGCAAACCCCTTGTCAAACCTAACTAGGGAGTTGTGTCTCCGGGCGGATTTGCTCGTCCAGAGCACGGTCGTAAACACAGTCTTTTCACATCAGTCCAGAAGAAAAAATCTGTGTGTCTTGTCTCTGCTGTTTTGTTTCTGTCCCGTTTTCTAATGCTTCACCTACCAGCAGAAGCTTCTCACCCGAGCTGCGAGAAGCACCGACATCATGTACCTGAAGGTCAATGCGTTTCTGTGTTTGTGTCTGCGTGGATCAGTTGTCATCCTGTATGCTGTAATCTGAGAAATGACATTTTACTTAACTAACCCCCCAGCCTGTAAACAAGATGATATGGAAGAGACCAATGTCTTACTTTGTAATGTAAATGATTTGTAATAAAGACTCCAACCCCACTGCAGTGTTTTTATCAGCTGATTTACCCGAGTGTGCCACAAGCTACACAGCAAATAATAGAAACCACCTTGTTAACAGTTGTCTTGTCATGACTTGGGGCTTTGCCCTCAAACTTCAATTTTGCATGTGTATGTTCTTATTAAAATATAATTATTAGATATGTGTATTCAGGGTCATCGTAAGAAAAAACAAATTTGTCTCACCACGTATTAATATAGATCAAGATGCGAAGAGTACACTGGGAATGTATTTTTAGTCAAGTGTCGCTGATTCAGCAGTCCTCTTAAAAACGTATCTTGCCCCAGTAAATCAATGCTTTCCTCTCGCATGCTTAGTAGCGCTGCCGCTTATAGAGAAACACTGTGGGGAGCTGATACCATCCCCTTCGATAGCTCAGTTGGTAGAGCGGAGGACTGTAGAGGAGTGCGATAGACATCCTTAGGTCGCTGGTTCAAATCCGGCTCGAAGGAGGTGACACTTTTTTTTTTCTTCTTCTTCTTTCACGGTGTTCAAGCGCAACGATCGAATACAGATTACACGGTAGATAGGGTTCATCAGCCGAACCAGCACAATTGCCAGCAAGCCAACAGGCTCTGTTGGCTATAGCCCAACTCGATTACATAGATATACTTTATCAGGTTGCGAGGCAACGCACATAAGGGGGATTAGCTCAAATGGTAGAGCGCTCGCTTAGCATGCGAGAGGTAGCGGGATCGATGCCCGCATCCTCCAAAGTTTTGTGTCTCGTCGGTTGGCGTGAGTTTGTTTTAACTCTCAAGTTGCAAAATGCAACCAACCAGACCAATTAGAAAATATGGTTATTTTAAAAATTGGTAATTTTGGGGGGGAGCTGAGACACAAAACATAAAGAAGATGCCAATGTCACATTTACATTTTCACGAAAGTTTTTGCGACGAATTTCACTGAAATCAATTCGTTCGACACTTCAAACTTAGGCAGTCTTTGTATAAGCTATTATAGGTCCCTGCTGTCAACACGTTATCACCTTCAAAGCCTAACATTTTAAGCTAGGTGACAAATCGTCGATATCTTACGCTTCCGGGGACCCAACATCAGCAAACAAGAGAACCGTTTGGAATGAATATACGCATGTACACTCGTTTTACTTACATCTCTTTGGTAAACACTATATAACATGCTGGTTAATGTTAGGGATAAGATTATGGTTAGGGTTTGGGATACGGCTAGGACTGGAGTACATGGCTGGAACATGTATTACCTCGGGAGCGTTATTGTACTGGATTTCATTGATAACCCGGCGCGTAGCATAAGAACGCGGAAGCTCACCTGTCGCGCTCCTCCGGAACATCGCAGGACTTGACAAATCGTCAGCATATCACGGGTTGGTACTGCGAACGGGCTGTTTCTGAAGCGTGGGGGGATTAGCTCAAATGGTAGAGCGCTCGCTTAGCATGCGAGAGGTAGCGGGATCGATGCCCGCATCCTCCAAGCTTTTTTTTGATGAGTTAAAATATTTTAAATAGAGCATTTTAAATATCCATGTGATTTAAAACTGTTTATTGTTTATGGAGAGTAATACATTTTAAGAGTACCGGGTAAATCTGTAAAGTAAACAGGAACTGATTGATTAATGATTATTTCTTTATAGCAGTGTATATTAATGAAATATGAAGTTGATATAAACAGAACTTTAAATAAATCACCCTAATTAGTAGAATGAAGAAACGACCTGAAATAGAGAATAAACTTATTTGAATGTTTATGACTCCCCGATAGCCGTAGATGTGTCTGTGCTGCCGCCTGGAGGCACAAGAGAGAAGATACATCTGCAGCTTCAACGTTTTCTTTAACACTAATAACTATGGCAGAGCACTGAATGTATAGAAGGTGGAAAGAGAGGCATTACTATGAGATAACTGTGAGGTAGATTATTATCAATTGGTAAAAAGTGCAAATGTAATCAAGCGCACATGAAAAATTAACTAGCTTTAGAGCTTTTTGTATTAAACTGTGTAAAAAGTTTACTTGCGTTGACTTGATATTCTGTGCATGGCGTTTACAATGATTAAAAAGTTCATGTGAGAGACAAAACAGAAGACAAAGAAGTCCAGACGCTTTTTCTTTCCAAGCTCCTTAGACTACAATGACCTGGATGACTGAGAATCTTCACAGACAACAAGACAAGACGGCGCAACACTAGACAGAACAGGACAATACAGAGACAAGACAGTG